AGCATTATCTTATACATCTAAAATGAATATAATGTTATATGTCAATTATATCTGAATAAAAAATTATGAACATGCAAAAAATTACTTCTGTACATTATGGTAATAGTTTTCATAATAATCATTAATCATTACTTTATTTTGCTTAAACTTATCAATAAAATTTTAATGTTTTACGTCATGTCACATCTCAAATGTATACATACATTTGAAAGTTAATAATCAGATATTAACAACAAATTCAAATGATGAGTCCAGTTCTCATTTCTGACAATGTTGCACTGTCTGTATTTGAAATTAACCTAAGTGATCATTCTATCACAGAGAATAGTGATACCTTAAATGATCCTATATATGCTGACTCGGTCACCCGCCCCTATCCACTTCACCTACTCAAGGATATTGCTCCAGAGATTCTGCAAGGGCTCTGCTACTTCACAGTTTTCACTCTCTTTTGATCATGATCACTCTCAGCATACAAGTATGTGGTAGTTTCTATCTAAAATACAAATGAAGATAGAATACTACCCCTGACTCCGAGTTAAGAACCACCAGCTACTATTCCAATTATTGCTTCCCCTTTCACTCTTAGATTCTTCATCCTTTCTAAACCTATTCCAGTCAGCTTCCCTGACCCTAACCCCCACCTCCACCTAAGCTGCCTGCATCCTAGTCACCAAAACCCTCCATGTACTGAATCCACTGATTCATTATCAGCCTTTCCTTAACTTGACCTGTCAGCACCATGTAACAGGTCATTACTGCTTCCTCCATGGTAACTTCTCTCTCTTGGCGTTCAGGATGGCATCTTTTTTGAGCGTTCTTCCTGCCTCACTGGCTGCTCCTTCTAGTTCAACTTTGCTGGTTTCTCCTCTTTTCTCAGTGTCAGGTGCCCCAGGGCTCATCCTTGGTCCTCTTTCTCTGCCTGCACTTACTTCATTGGTGATCTCACCCAGGCTCATGCCTTTAAATACCAACGATATATCAATGTCTAAATTTACATCTCCATGCCAGACCTCTCTCTTGAACTTCAGGCTTGTGCATTCAACAGCTTATGTGATATCTCTACTAGCACATTCACAGATATTTCAAACCCAACCAGCCCAAGTTGAGCTTCTGATATGTTGGAGTTATTCTTGAATCCTTATTTCTCTCACCCGACAAATGATCCTGGAATCACAACAATCCTCCAGTCTCTGCTTTCAAACTATTTCCAGAAATCCAACACTTCCCACCACCTCCTTCCTACCACCCTTGTGCGGGCCAGCATTATCTCTCACTGGGATTGCTGCCTCAAAGCGGGTCTCCTTTCTCCTGCTCTTGCCCACTTCTGGTGAGCCTCAACACAGCAGCCAGAGGAGTCTTTCAAAGCATAATTGATGTCCAAAGCCTGCAACGGCTCCCATTTCATTTGGAGTCAGAGTCCTCCTCTGAAAGGCCTTCCATCATTAGGCCCCTGTACTTCTCTTACCTCACTGCTTGTAGTTCTCCCCCTCCCTTTCACTTCCCACGGGGACCTTGCAGTTCCCAGAACACCCTGTCATGCTCCTGCCTGAGAGCCTTTACACCGTGGGTTCTCTCTGCTTGCACAGCCCTTCCTCCAGATATTTGCATGCATGGTTAACTCTCACCTCTTTCAGATCTTTGCTCTTTTAACATTGTTTCAGTAAGGCTTCGTCTGTGCACAACCCTCCCCCCAACGCTCACAATCCCCTTCTTTTACCTACTTTCTTTTTGCAATGCAATTTATTACCTTTGGACATACTCTACAATTTACTTATTCATTTCTTAATTTTTGTTGTCTTTCTTCCTCAGCTAAAGTATAAATTTCAAAGGGAAGGGCCCTCATCTGTTTTGTCCACTGATGTACTGTAAGCACCTAAAACAGTGTTCAGCACATAGTAGTCATTAAACATTTGTTGCTTACTTCTTAATGAATGAAATACTGAATTAGGTCTTTGGCTTTTCTGCCTTCCAAAGGCTGAGGCTGAAAAGTGATATTTTTGGACTACAAAGGCCAATGATGAAGTTCAGTGCATCCCTCCCCAATGGATACGGGTTCCTTCCAGTCCCAGGGACACATCTCTTGGAGTGAGAAGCCTTGATTACTTATCTTAACTTGATTCTGCTTTCTTTTTCTCTTTCCAAGCCCAAAATCACCTTCCTGGGACTTTCTATTTTCTTTTTGTCTACGGTTGAAATTGCCCTCATTTATTCCCAGAAATTCCCCCATGTTCTTAATTTCTTTGCTCAAGACTCTTTCACAATTTGACATCATAACAGGTCTTGTCATGTAACATGGAGCAAAAGAGCTGGAGAGGGTGGGTGGGGAGGGCGGGTCCAGGTGTCTGTCTATAAGGAGGAGGGTGAAGAAGAGCTGGTTGTATCATGGTCCAGGGGCCCAAGTAGCTGCTCTACAGAAGCCATAGTTTGCATCTTGTTCTCATGACTTTAGGAAAGATTCATCAAATGTTTTTCTAAAATTCAGATACATTATACTTAAGGCATTAGCACAGTGCACTAAAAAATAAGACATATGAATAAATGAATAATTGATCTATAAACCTGTTTGTTACCTATTAAAAATAAAAATAAAACAGCCAATAAGTTTAGTTTGATATGATTATTTTTCTTGAAAGCCTCCATTGACTGATCCTGAATGACTGTAGCTTTTAATCCCCCCCCCCTCCCCGCCCCGGGGTTCTTTGTATACTATGTGGGAGAGGTGACTTCTCAAAGAAGGAACTGTGCTCTCTGGGTCTGTTGGAGCTCTAACTTAGAGTCGTGGGCTGAGGATGTCAACAGGATTTTATAAAAAAAAAAAAAAAAAAGTTTTGTATGTTTTCTAAACCAAAACCCTGACACCAGAAATGTAGCCTGTGAAGATTGATTCCTGAGCATCAGAGATTTGTTTCCATCCATGAGCCTTGCCAGACCACGTTTTTACATCTCCACCAGGCCAGTTCATTTAACTGTAGCTTCTGTTCCCAGATTTGAGTATTTCATTGTCCGCTTTGGGTTAAATTCATTACACTTTTTGGAAAGGAATATTTTGAAGGAGTATCTCGCTAATATTTTAAAAACCAGAAGTCTCGACTCCTCAGCAAAACACCTCTCAGATTAATGCTATCTTTGTAACGCTCTCTGTGGTATCATTAAAGCCAGATAAAGTGAAATTGTTCCTAAATTGTGGGTAGCTGTATCTACAGTTCTGAGCTTTCCAGAAAGTTAAGGGCTAATGAATTTTTTTAAAAGAGCTATTTATGTTTTCTTTCATAAATAAAAACAAGGGATACAGGGATGGGCTAAGAATTTCAGAGGTTTTATAGCTCATATTAACAGGTTTTTACTAACATCTGAAAAAAATATGGAGATGTTGGTATTGATTATTAACTTCAGGATACCCTGATGTGTAATAGATTGTACTACTGCCCAGCAATATCACAAGGAGTGAGGGGTGAGTGTTGGGTATGTGCCAGGAATAGGTCTCCAAAGGTAAAAAGGGGGCTAACTTTTGACACTTTATCCATATCTCATGGGCTAGTTTTATCCCAATTATAACAGAATATTTTCATCATAGTCCAAAATACTATGAAGCAATTATATGTCTTTAAAAAAATGGACTGAGGGTTGCTGGAATGGTGGGGGGTGGGAGGGATGGGGTGGCTGGGTGATAGACATTGGGGAGGGTATGTGCTATGGTGAGCGCTGTGAATTGTGTAAGACTGTTGAATCACAGGTCTGTACCTCTGAAACAAATAATACATTATATGTTTTAAAAAAGAAAAAGATAATAGGAAGGGAAAAGTGAAGGGAGGGGAAATCGGAGGGGGAGAAGAACCATGAGAGACTATGGACTCCAAGAAACAAACTGAGGGTTCTAGAGGGGAGGAAGTGGAGGGATGGATTAGCCTGGTGATGGGTATTAAAGAGGGCACATATTGAATGGAGCACTGGGTGTTATATGCAAACAGTGAATCATGGAACACTACATCAAAAACTAATGATGTAATGTATGATGATTAGCATACATAATAAAATAAAATAAAAAAATTATAAAAAAAATAAATGGCTGCCTAATTATCAAAAAAAAAAAGAAAAAATGGGGAAAAGGTATTGATTTTGTAGACTGTGAAAGAGGAGCTACTTCTCTAAATGTCTCCAGGAATGTTTCTGGCCCTGCTATCTGCCCACCCCCCCCAACTTGTTTGGTTGTTTTTTCCTCTCCTTGGTTTAACTTTTGCTCCATACTAAATATTTGCCTAATGCTAGTCAAAGGACCCTTCACACCAAACTCTGCATGTCTTTGTTCTGAGAAGTAAAATCTCATTTTGTTCCTATCAGCTTTACAAGTTCAAAACTATATACAAGTGTAGGAAGTGGTTTTGAAACATGCAACAGGGGATATTTTCTAGAAATTCGGATGCTCTGAAAAAACATTAGCCTTCCTAGAAAATGTTTCAGATTTTCTTTCAGTAAAATCTGAATTTTGTTCTTGAGATGAATTGGGTGTGTGATTTTTAGAAAGCATAAGTTTGCCCAAACATTACACAATATCCTTTGTGACATAATTCTGTACCCATAAGAATTGTATTCATCCTTTCATAAAATTTGAGGATTTTATCTGGACTTTTTTTTAAAGATAAAAAATTGAAAGTGCTGGGAGTCAGGAGCAGAATAAGAAATTAAAGGCAAGAAATATTTTGGTGCTCTTTCCTCTGCACCTTACCACCCCCCCATGCTATTCAAACGTGAACCATACTAAGTCATAAAATATGTCTAAAGGAAATTCTACAATGTTCTGACTTTTCATATGATACTTCACTACTTCAAATTTTTTTTTTTCTTCAAAATCTGAATTGTTTTAAAACATCGTGTTGGCTTTGCAGGCGCCTTTAATACATGCTTGCTAAGGTAGCGAGGTGGGGGGTGTACTCTACGATGCGCAAGGACTGGGCAACACGGGCCCAGTATCTTTGCACCTGTTTGCATATCTCGTGAAGGAAAATAGAAACAGCCAGCTCCTCCCTGAGACTAGGGGCAGGTGGGCGGGGGAGACCGCCAGAGCCTCCCGGGAACCTTCCGGGAGCTGGAAACCGCTCCAGGAGGCAGCCCGCCCCTCCTCCGTTGCAGGCCCCGCCCCCGCCTTCGCTAGGCCGGCGGCGCGTGGGGCGGGGCCGAAGGCCTCAGCCAATGAGCGCCTGCGGGCCGGGCGGGACGCGGGCCGGTCGCCCGGGCGACCAAAGTGCGGCCCCGCCCCCCGTCGCGAGTGTCCCGCGCGCTGCTGAGTGCAGGTTACAGTGCTAGCTGAGGTCCCTGCACGCCGCGCAGTCGCGCGATGGGCAAGTGGAGCATCGGGCGAAAGCCGGGCCGCGCACTCGGACTCCTGCTGCTGGTGATCTTGAGTTTCCTGGTGCTCTGCAGGTGAGAGATCCCCGCCCCGCACCTGCCGGACTCCAGACACCTCTGCTTTCCACACCCGCAGTTTGCGTCTCCCCTCTCACCTGAGGGAGGCAGCCCCGGGGATCCGCGTCCCGCGAATCGCGATTCCCCACCGGGAAGGGGTATCCGGCCTCTTCTTTGTTGGGTCTGGCGTCCTTCCCCACCACTAGGCACTCTGCTCTTGCCTCGAGATCCAGGATTCCGGGTGACACTAGGTGCTGTCCTCTCAGTCCTCAGCGTCTGTGTAGAGCTTCCCCACTTTCTCGAAGCTGGTGATGCCCGGGCTCTGCTTTCTTTGTGGATACTCCCAGCTCTCTGGGAAGGCCAGCAGAGCTAGCCATCAGGTCTCTTTCAGATGTCCCCGATCACTGCTCCGCCCCTAGTGCTTGGGGAGCCCGCTTCTGCTGTCCTCCCGGGTCCCCACATTTCCTACCAAGCCTGCTGGGAGGCTTCTCTCTATTCATCAGAAGCCAGAGCTCCAGGCTCACAGCTATGGTCGATCTCACCTGCCCAGCGCAGTCATGAGATCGCTGTCCCTTGGGTCCTTCAATATCCTCAACCCTGGATTTATTAGCCCCACTTCAGGATTGATATGTCTTCTCTCTTCACTTTCCCACGTTGGTCAGTCATCTGCTCACTCCTTCCCAACCCCCTTTTACAAAGTGTTATCTTTGACAAGTGGTTGTGTTTAGTGATAGAAGGACTTACCCACAGCCTGTGTGGGTGCCCTAGCCCAGAACTTTTGTAAAGTGTATCTGTTTATAGGATTCTACAGTCCTGACCATGTCTTTCAGGTCAATGGCTGGCACTTTCCATATTCAAAACCTCCAGTGTTGCTGGGAAAGCAGACCAGCAGTATCAAATACTTTGGCACTGAAAGTTAAGTTTGAAGCAGGTGGTGTGGGGGCAGACACACCACCCCTTCAGCTTTATCTTTTGCTTCTTCCAATCCCTTTTGTTAGTTTCTCTGACTCTCCTCTGGGAGATAGGGAAGTTTTTGATGGAGATGAATATTTGAATGTTTTTGCTGCCACAGAACACATTCAGAAACTATTTCCACCTTTTTTAAGACATTTGGCTTTGGAGTTGGTAAGGATGTCATAATACTGTTTGAGAGAAAGAAATGGTGCTCTTCTCACTCTGGGGCCCAGAAAACTTAAGAGGCATTTTGTTTCCCGAGTTGTTCCCAAGACTTTTTTCCATCTTGTCAGTGATCTCTAATCCATTCCTCTCTGAAGACTGATCCTGGCTCTTGTAGGATGCTCAGCCTTCCTCCTGACGCAAGGCTGATGCAAAGCCCAGAAGGATTACTCAAAGCAGAGGCAACAGAGCCTCCAGCATGCAGCAGGGTATCAAGGAGCCCACACCCCGGAGAGAAAGGCCAGAGGTGTGCAAGTAGCATGTGGTTTGCCCATTGTTGGAGGTCAAGGATATGGCAGTCCATGCAGGGGCATTGAGGGGCAGCTCTGAGGGGCTTGAGGTGGGCCAGGTAGTGCACCTTAATAGTCCACAGGAAAAGGTGTGGGAAGGAGGCTGGGTGTTTGTTGGTGTCTGGCAGGAAGGAAGATGGGGTGTCAGGTAGCTGACTGGCTGTGAAGAAGCCTGAGCTTCTCATAGGTGAGTTAACCATGTCCCTACCTGAGTTGGAGTGGCCATAGCAGGAGTCAGTCAGGGGCTGATGGAGGTGCCTGAGAACAGCTACAACCCAAGCCTGAGAAAATAGTTTGAAATGCTTAGTAAAGTCATTGTTGTTCCTGATATCCCTCCTTTCTCAGCAGGTAAGACAGAGGCCAGAGAAGCTCTGACCCAAATTCAGGGCCATCTGTTAGGGTCCTTCAGAATATGTGTGTTTTGGGCATTTTTTAATTTTATTACCCTCATGGTATTGGGCTTTTTGCCATGGGCTGGACACCAAGGATTATCTCTGGAGGGCAGAGGAGAATACACTCTTTGGTGCTTCCTCTTCTTGCCTTGCTCTAGCTTTGACTGGATATTAACTTCGTGGGAGGTGGGGACCCCTCCCAGCTGTTGCTGGGAATGTGGATATGGCCAGTGGAATATAGGGGAATTGGGAATGGGAATTGGCTACTCAGCTGGCAGCTTTGTGGAGCTGAGCTGTCAGGATCAACCTTTTCCTGTACCTCAGAAGGCAGGTATTTGGGTAGGGAGTGCCTGCTGGGCTCCAGCTTTTGTTTTTTCCCCAAGAACTTTACCTTGGGCTGGTTCATGGTCAATCAATCATAGCTGTTTGATGATATCACATCCAAGAAATCGGAGGACCAAGATGACTTTTGAGGATGATTTCAACCTTTGATATTTTTTAGCTTGAACAGTGGTCTGAAATTTACCTTTATTGCAGTATAATTGTCATGCAATAAGCTGTACATGTTTAGCTTGTACAGTTTGATAAGTGTTGGTGTATATATCCATCTGTGAAAATACTGCCACAATTAAGAGAGTGAAAATATCCATCAGCCCTAGAAATTTCCTTGTGCCCTTGTGCATCTCTCTGTCCTGCCCTTCTCTGCTCCCCCACCCCTAAGGACACTGATCTGTTGCTTTCTGCCACCATATATTGTATGCATTTTCTAGAGTTTTATGGAAGTGTAATCCTAAAGTATGTACTCTGTTTGGATTTGGCTTTTTTCACTCAGTATATTATTTGGAAATCTTCGATGCATATCAATGAGAACCATGTCTGAGTTAGTTGCCTTTCCTCCTCCCACTCCATGGTTGCAAGAATGCCTGCTTGATATGATCAAGGCATGGTTCCCACTCATGACTCTTTTCCTTAATATAAATGCATCACTGAGCAATAATACAATGAACTCTGCATCTCTTATACCTGATATATTAGCTGGCAAAAGTCAGGAGAGGAAATTGGCCAGGTAGGTGCCCTGCATCATGCCTTCTTAAAGGCAAGTTCATCTGTTTGCCCAGTTCTACCTCACTCAGTGCTCCTACACTGGCATTATCTGGATTCTAGACCCCAAACTCTGCCTGAAGGAAAGAAGAGGAGCCTATCAAAATCTTCTTTTTAGAGAAGGTGGATGACTTAGCAACATGACCTGGTCACCTTTGATCCAAATCATGGCCAGTTCTGCCTTGCAAGGATGTGTGGGCAAACTGTTCCTCCCTTCCTGGGCTTCTGTGAGGTCATTGATTTTATGAGCTTTGCCTGTTCTAGGACTCTACCCTGTGAGGCCTGAGTCATATTCCCTGGAATGTTCGAACTCTTTGAACACTGTTCCTTTCATCTTCTAATAGTAAAGTTTTCAGCATCTGGGAAGTGTCTCTTTCAGCAGGTAGTCATTTCTCTGACACAAGTGGAGAAACATGGCTACTTGGGCAGTGGCTCAGTCAGAGAGAAAGAGAGAGAGAGAGAGGTAGGATGTCTGAACCACCCTGTTCTGGGAAGAGAGAGTTGGCATTGGGATTCTTTCACTGCCATACTAGCCAACTGAAGGGGACCAGAGTGTCTTAGAGCAAGAGCATGGACATTATTACTGTATTTGTGATTAAAAGGATTGGGATACCCAGGAAGTTCAGGGAAAAAGCTACACAGTCTTGGCAGCAGAAGTATCAGAAGGTTGGCCAAAGAGTTCTCTGTACCTTGGGTCAAGGAAGTGGCAAGTGAAATAAAAGCACTTAATCTTTGATGAAATGACTCAGACTTCCATTATATCACCTTGAATGCTCTTCTAATGAAGATTCAGGAGATGCTGGAGTTTAGAGAGGTCTTTTCAGAACATTTAGCACCTGAAAAAGACTCTGGAGGCCAACCCCCATCTCTCTGGTCCCTCCCCCATCATCCAGTGCAGTTCTTCTGGTATAGGGATATTTGCTGCTTCCTCCCCACTCAGTTTTATTTCTTGCTTAAGTCTATTGCTCTGGATATTAAAGGCCATGTTGAAAAAGAGTTCCCATTGTGTGAGACTTCTCCTGGGAAAGAAGGGCAAGGGTATTTTTAGAGGCTAATGGTAATGAAGCAAATAACTCTTGACTGGGGTCTACTAGGTAGAGACTCTGATGATACTGCTTTCATAGTCACACACTCAGCAAGACAGATAGTGGCATTTTTCCTTTCAAAACCATGTTTTCCTGCAAAGTTTATTTTGTGAGTAGGTAATCTATGTAAACGATTAAATGTTCAAATAATATAAGGAGGAGAATAAAGCCCCCACTCCTGGCCCTTAGGCACCCCTCTCCGCCCCACCAGAGGTGATTACTAATAATGGTTTCTCCCAGGGATATTCTGTGCATATATAAGAAGGCAGCTATATGTATTACCCCATTTGTCCATTAGGGATATAATTTATTCAAACAGTTCCCTAGTGATGGGCATCGATTATTTGCAATCTTTTAGCTAGTGCAAAGTTGCAGTGTATGTTAACCACACTGGAATTAAAATAATATAAAGTAAAAACAACAACAAAAAACCCCCCAAATTTTGCAATGAATATCCGTTGGATATATTTCTGTCCCTAGAATTGCTGACCATATGAAGTATTCATTTTAAATCCTGGTAGACTTTTTTTTTTTTAAGGTTTTTATTTATTTATTGGAGAGAGAGAGGTAGCTAGAGCCCACGAGTTGGGGGGGGGCAGGGCAGAGGGTGAAGCAGACTCCTCGCTAAGCAGGGAGCCCAATGGAGGGCTTGATCCCAGGACCCTGGATCATGACCTGAGCTGAAGGCAGACACTTAACTGATTGAGCCACCCAGGTGCCCCTAATCCTGATAGACATTTAAAATAAGTAAGTAAAAATAAGTTAAAATAGTAAAATAGCACATTCTATTTCTGTTGGATCAATGTGAAGGAGATTCTGAGCTCTATAGTCTGAGCTCTATAGTCTGAAGGGGAAATTCTATTTATTCTTCATGTGTATAGGTTCTTTGTATCTTTAAGAACTAGTCCATCTCTTATATATCTATGTACATAAGCCTCATGTGGTGGATTTTAAAAAATACTGAACATATTTAT